AAGGAGGGACTTTATTAGAAAGGATTATTGCAAGGTGGAGGAGAGTCCAGGCTGAGAATGGACCACAGTTCCAGATTCTGGGGATTCGGTAGGGGGAAGGCGCGGCTTAACCTAGGTTTGTTTAACAAACATTTTGTCCTGATAGAACAGTGGGGACAAAACAGCTCAGCTAAGAGTTTATGGGTCCCCCCCACACACAAAGGGGTGAGGGATTGGAAGGGTCTGTGTGTGGCCCTGTCTTAGGTTAACAGAGAGTCATCCAGGGCCTTCCCTAAGTCATGGGGAAGATTGCTGCTTTGCAATAAGCCAGTTCCTGCAATGCCAAAATCCAGGGAGGATTTCTTTTCTTTCTTTTTTTTAAATTTTTTAATGTTTCCTTATCCTTGAGAGAGTGAGAGAGACAGAGAATGAGCAGGGAAGGAGCAGAGCGAGAGAGGGACACAGAATCTGAAACAGGCTCCACGCTCTAAGGTGTCAGCACAGAGCCCGACACAGGGCTCGAACCCACGAACCGTGAGATCATGACCTGAGCCAAAGTCGGACGCTCAACCGACTGAGCCACCCAGGCGCCCCCAGGGAGGATTTCTTAACCAGATGTGCAAGGCTCAGGTAACTTCAGCACTGTCCTAAATAAAGATGTTTGGCTGCGGGGTGGAGAGGGGGAAGACCTGCCTCTGAGATGCTCAGAGGACTGGCCAGCCCTCGGGTGGGGGATTTCAGCCCCAACTCACAACGCTTTGATGGCCCAGAATCTCAAGATTTGAATTTAAGTGGAAATAAATACTCACACGGGTGCTCTCCAACTTTTTGGTCTCAGGACCCCTTTGCACCATTAAATAAATATCAGCAACCACAAAGAATTTGTTGGCATGGGTTGTATCTGTCCATATTTACAATTTTAGCAATTAAAATGCAAAACGTTTTTTAAATTTTTTTTAATGTTTATTTAATTTTGAGAGAGACAGACAGAATGTGAGCGGGCGAGGGGCAGAGAGAGAGGGAGACACAGAATCGGAAGCAGGCTCCAGGCTCTGAGCTGTCAGCACGGAGCCCGACATGGGGCTCAGACTCATGAACACTGAGAACACGACCTGAGCTGAAGTTGGAGGCTTAACTGACTGAGCCACCTAGGTGCCCCAAAATGGCAAAACTTTTAAATCGCAGAATACACAAGCACGTTAGAAAGGATTATTACAATTATTACATTAGCTGTCAGAACAATGATGCCATCACACATCACATAGCCTCAGGAAAACTCCAGATTCTGGTTGGGGGGGAGGAGGCAAATAACATTTTAGTATTATTATGGAAATAATTTTAACCTTGCAACTAACCTGAAAGGGTCTTGGGGATCCCGAGACCACCAGACAACACTGCGGGACTAGAGGCCCCTGTATTCCTGATTGGCCTTTGATGAGCCTTCGAGTTTTATCTTAGTGACCATAGTTCCTAACTTCAATTTTTCCCTTCTCTTTATAATAATAGGACCACCTAGGTTCTGGCTGAGAAAATGGCCACCCATCTGGAGACTACATTTCCCAGGCTCCCTTGCAGGTAAGTGTGACCATGTGACTAAGTTCCACCCAAAGAAAAGGCACAGAAGAGATGTGGAAAAGTCCCAGCTAATGTCCTTAAGAGGTGGCATATGCTCTCCAGTATCTCTGTCCCCCTTCCTGCTTGCTGTAACAAGGTCATGGGCGGAGGCGGGGGGGGGGAGGGCTTTCCTTCAACTGAGTTGATGAAAATAACACTTTTTTTTTTAATTTTTAAAGTTTTTATCTATTTTGAGAGAGACAGAGCGAGTGGGGGAAGGGGAGAGGGAGACTGAGAATCCCAAGCAGGATCCACACTGCCAGCGCAGACCCAATAGGGGCTCGAACCCTGAAACCAGTAGGTCATGACCTGAGCCCAAACCAAGAGTTGGACATTTAACTGACTAAGCTGCCCAGGCCACCCAGGAAGGAAGCGCCTTAGAATAATGGTCCCCGAGGAGTGGTACCAGATGAGCAGCGGCACCTTGGTCCCCTGGGAGTTTGCAAGAAAGGAAAATTCTCAGGCCCCATCCAAGACCTACTGAATCAGAAACTCTGGGACTTGGGACCCAGCAATCTGTGTTTCAAAAAACCCTCCAGGAGGGGCTTCTGGGTGGCTCAGTGGGTTTAGCATCTGATTTCAGCTCAGATCATGATCTCATGGTTCATGAGTTCAAGCCCCGCATCTGGTTTGCTGCTCTCAGCACAGAGCCTGCTTCAGATGCTCTGTTCCCCTCACTCTCTGCCCTTCCACCGATCACACTCCCTCTGAAAAAATAGATAAGTATTTATTAAAAAAAAAAAAACCTTCAGGGGATTCTGATATACACCCAAATTTGAGGACCACTGGGCTTGTAGATGCAGAGAAAAAAAATAGAAGCACCTGGGTCCGTGGACCACCTCAGGAGACCAGCTTGGATATTCACATGAGAAAATCAATCTTCTATCTTATCAAAGCATCTGTTATTTGGTCTTTCGTAAATCAAATCAATATCTTTTTTTTTTTTTTTTTAAGTATGCTCCACACCCAGCATGAGGCTTGAACTCATGACCCTGAGATTCAGGAGTCAAGTACTCTACCAACTGAGCCAGCCAGGTGCCCCTCAAATCAATATCTTAATCAGCAATATATTTTAAAACACCCCTTGATTTTTTTTTTTTGAATTAAGAATTTTAGGCATGTTTCTCAGGGGTGCATGGGTGGCTCAGTCGGTTAAACATTCAACTTCAGCCCAAATCATGATCTCGTGGATCATGGGTTTGAGCCCCGCGTGGGGCTCTGTGCTGACAGCTCGGAGCCTGGAGCCTGCTTCGGATTCTGTGTCTCCCTCTCTCTCTTCCCCTCCCTTGCTCATCGTCTCTCTCAAAAATAAATAAACATTGGGGCACCTGAGTGGCTCAATCTGTTAAATGTCAGACTTCGGCCCAGGTCATGATCTCTCGGTTTGTGAGTTCAAGCCCCACATAGGACTCTGTGCTGACAGCTCAGAGCCTGGAGCTGCTTCAGATTCTGTGTCTCCGCCTCTCTCTGCCCCTCCATGCTCATGCTCTGCCTTTCTCTGTCTCTCAATAATAAATAAATAAGCCTTAAAAAATAAAAAAATAAATAAACATTAAAAACTTAAAAAAAGAATTTTAGGCATATTTCTCACAACCATCAGGATAGCTATTAAAAACACACAGAGAAAATAAATATTGGCAAGGACGTGGAGAAATTGGAACCTTTGTGTGCTGCTGATGGGAACGAAAAATGGTACAGCTTCTGTGGATGTTAGGCATTTCCCAAGAAAATGAAAACTGGAATTACCCCCCAAAAATGGAATTACCATATGATCCTTTGGGATAAAACTTTAGGACATGGAATGGTATATAATAGAAGTGGAATCATACACTAATTTTTGTGACTGGCTTATTTCACTTAGCATAACGTCTTCAAGATTTATCTGTGTCGTAGCAGCTGTCAGAATTCACCTCCTTTTTAAGGCTGAAAAATATTCCTCTGCATGTCTATATTCTGCCTCCCTTGCAGCTAGAAATACCATGAAACAGCCCCAGACAAGGCGATGCAGGCAGAAATCTACCAAGCTAAGAAAGTTTTGACCTCCTGCCTCGAATTCATACACAATGCCTGGAGCGGTGGCCTCCATATTGTGACCATGAGGAAAAAAACCAAGAGAATCAGATAGACCTCAGCAACAGCCTCTGAACCTCTGAGCAATGCCAGTAACCTTCTCCCTCTAGACTTACAGGAGAAAGGTTAACCTTTTATTTGCATGCTGATGACCGGGTCTTGGTGTTAGTTGCAGCCCAAAGCATTTATTTATTTACATTTTAAGTAGATCTATTTATTTTGAGTCAGAGACAGTGCAAGTGGGAGAAGGGCAGAGAGAGAGAGAGAGACAGAGAGAATATACCAAGTAGGCTCTGTGCTGCCAGCCCAGAGCCTGACATGGGGCTTGAACTCACGAAACCACAAGATTATAACCTGATCCGAGACCAAGAGTTGGACATTTAACCGACTGAGCCACCCAGGTGCCCCCCCCCCAAAGCATTTATAACTGATACACTTGGTCAAGTTACATAACCTGTCTCCCCAGCCAGAATGTAGGTTCCATGGTGGCAGAGAACTTGACTTTGTTCACGCTGTGTGCCCAGCCCTTCCCGTCCCAATTAGTGGCGGGCAGGGACCACACCGCTGGAACGCGTGCTTAAGGTTCTTCAGCCACAACCTATCAGTACCATCCTCGTGTTCGCTGAAATAATCACACACAGCTCCAGACAGCGCCGGACGCCTAGTGAACCCTCCAGAGTGGTCAGCGATGACCTCCATTAAAGCTTCCGGCGCTCCTCCCACCTGCCTCCCAACTTCCCCCAGGTGGCTTTCATCAGACAGCTCGGTGCCCGCGCCCCCCTCGTTTCCAGGTCGTCCCCTTTGAGTGTGTGACAAGAACCTCAAGGGGCTGGCAGCTTCGGCTCTTCTTTCTTCTGATGTCTACACAAGTAATAAGTGGTCTGGATCTAAAAGTGGGTCTTGGGGCTCCTGGGTGGCTGAGCCTGCTGAGTGTCCGACGCTTGGTTTCAGCTCAGGTCATGATCTCGCGGTTACGGGAGTTGGAGCCACGCGTTGGGCTCCGCGCTGACAGCATGGAGCCTGCTTGGGATTCTCTCTCTCCCTCTGTCCCCCCCACCCAGTGCTGTCTCTGTCTCGCTCAAAAATAAACAAACCTCGAAAAAATAATAAAACAATAAAATAACACACACATTAACTAATTTACTGAAAAAAGTGGGCCTTGTATCTTGACCAGTTAAATCATCCCAGCCAGGCCCTGGCCATGTGCCGAGTGTGCGTGTGTATGTGTGTGTGTGTATAACCATAAGGATTATCTGTCGTATCTCTTGTCGTCTTTGGCCTGAGGCTGCCCTCTCCCCAGCCTCTCCTCCCAAAGACAAAGACACACAGAGACCAGAGAAAATTCTTCATTTTATTTCAGCTCACAAACCACCGAAGGGATCAGTCCCTGGCCCTCCCTCACCTAAATGCAGCCCTTCCCCCCAACACCTTCACAAAACACTGATTTCCTCCCAGAGCTAAAATGAACACCCAGTCCCAACTATGGCCGTCCCCCCCGCCCCCGCCCCCCAGCCCATCTACCTGCATATTCACCTGCTCTGTGAACTTGGCCACCTTTTGGCTTCCCGCCCAAATTTCTATCCCCAAGGTCACTTGGCTCGCTTCTTTTGGTTCCATCATTATTCAGGGGCCGTTCTTAAAGCTCTCCCTGACTCAGTCCCCAGCTGGCTCCCGTTTGCTCCACATTCATTCTGCATAGCTTCCTGGCCTCGCTTCCCTGTTGGACAGGCTGGGTTTGCAAGCTCTCCCTGCTCCCCAAAGTGTCTGCAACCCCCCCTCAGCTGTTCTGGGCGGGAGAAAGGGGGCAAATTCAGAATCGGATGAGAGAGGAGTCAAAGATAAAAGGCGAGCGGGAGCGAGTCGGACAGAAAGGGGGGGATGGCGGAGGGACCCTCCTCCCTCAGCCCCGGCAACAGAGGCGAGCCAGCGCTGAAGACCAGCGCCCCCTACAGTCTGAAGCCCCTCTAGCTGTTCCGGGTCCTCTGGCTCCGAGCCTTATACACCTCAATGAGCAGATCCTTGACGTACTGGATCTCGCGCTCCACCGACTCAGCCCTCTCCCTCAGCTCCCGGTTTCGAGCCTCCAGCCCCTGACACTCGCCCTCCAGGGCCTCGCCCTCAGCCCGCTTCCTCTGGCGGTACCTCAGAGCTGCTGACTTGTTCTGGTCTCTCTTCTTTTGCTTGCGGTCCCCTCGGGTGGTGGCAGGATTAGGGTAGGGGGCGGGGCGAGCGGGCGGAGGTGGAGGAGGGGGGGGCTGCTGCGGTGGGGGCAGGGATGCCGACCCCGAGTCTCCCGGCCCCGCCTCACTGCGGCAGTAGATGGCCAGCAAGTCAAGGGTATCCAGAGCAGGGGGCTGGGGGAGGTCAAAGGTGGGGAGGGGAAGGGGGAGGGGGAGGGAGGGCCCTGCGGGCGGCGGCTGAGGCAGTGGGGAGGACGGTGGGAGGAGTGGAGCGTCCAGGAAGAAGTCTTCCATCTGCTCCAGCTCCTTCTTGAGGAGAGAGGCCATGGCTTCCAGGTCAGGTGGGGGAGGGGAAGGTGGGGGGAGGGCACCTGGGGGCAAGGGGGGCTCCAGGGGCAGGAGGGCGGTAAAGTCCACCCGCTCAGTCATCCAGTCAGAGAAGCCGTCACCTGGGGAATTGGAGGAGGGACATAAGTGTCCTTGAGTTCCTGGTTTTCTAGCCAACCTGGTGCTCATTCACGTCTGCTTCATTCATCCCATTCACTGAGCGAAACCACCAATGAGCTGATCGGTCCACCGACCAACTCATGAATCATCAACCACTCAACAAACCAGCCAACAGATCAAACATCTAACCAACCAGTGAACCAACCAATCAAACACCCGCCAGTTGGCCAACCAATCAACTAATTGGATAAAGCAGTCAACCAACCAGTCAACCTACGAAGCAACCAATCAGTGGACCAGTCGACCAACCAATGACCCAAACAAAGAAAATCAACCAGCTCTGTCTTCAACCATTCCAAAATCTTGTTACGAGTTACCCTACATCTGTAGTTTCTCATTTACTCTCTATTCTTAAGAGGCAAACTAGATCACATACACAACACACCCTGTTTCATCTTTAATTCATTAATTATTGAGAACCCACCATGTGCCAAGCATTTGGAATACCCTGAGTAAAATAACTCCTGCCCCAGGGCATCTGCGCATGCTGTTTCCTCTACCTGAAAAGCTCTTCCTTTGGGTCTTTTCTTGGCTTATTCCTTCCCTGCCTTTAGGTCTCAGCCAAAACATTACCTATGTGTTTCCTGGCTACTCACTGTAACTAAGACTGTGTTTTTATTTTTTTTGGCTAAGCTACTAAGTGTTTCCCACTTATCTCAATATATCATCACTTAATTTGTCTTTTGTCTGCCTCCCCACTAGTGTGTGAGTTCCAGGAAGGCAAGCTGTATCCCCCAGACCCTAAAACTTGCCCTGGCATACTACAGGTACTCAGTAAATATTTCTTGAATGAATAAATGAATTCTTCTCCCCTGTCCCCCATGCCCCGGCTCACCCCACCTCCATTCTCCACCTGTCCTTACCTGCCAGGGGCTCTCCTCCCCCTGGGAGCCCGCCCTCCAGGGCTCCCCCAAGGATTTCATAGGAGCCCAGGGGGGCAGGGGCCAGGGGGAGTTTCCCATAGTCTACGAGCCAGCCCAGACCGCTAGCTGGGAGCAGGGCCCTGTCCAGCTCCAGCCCCAGGGTCGCCAGGAGTGACATGGCTGCAGCACGAGCTCTGGGCACGGGTGGCAATGAGGAAGGCGGAACCGACAGCTGGAAGGAGGCTCTGGAAGTTGCTCAGCTGGGCAAAGACAGGCACCAAGGTGAAAGTGGAGGACCTACAAGTGAGACATAAGTCGGCAGCTTCAGAGGCCATCCACGTGCGCCACCAAAGTCACAGGGAAACCAAGCCACACCCCCATGTCCCTAGGGTCCTCTCCCTTCCCCTTCCAACTCGCCTTGAGACTGCACCTTGCCCTCTCAGAATTCTAAATCGACGCTTTCTTTCCCCAAATCTCTGAGCTCCACCCACTCCCAAAGGAATTCTCTTTAGGCTCCACTTACTTTCCTTTAGAATTCCCAAGCCCCCCTCCTTCCAACACAGAAACATAATGGTCTCCCAGGGGAATTTCCTGAAGCCCCACCCACCCCACAATTATTCAACTTCACAAAAGACTCAATCCCAGAATTTTCTTCCAGCCACACCCCTTCTTTAGGCTCCACCCCCTCTAGAAGCAAGTTCAAATCAGTTCCCAGGGGAATAGCCACAGCCCTGCCCCCTTGTCAACATAGTCTACCGTGTTCCACTCTTTCCTTTGAACTTTGCGGTGACCGCCTCAGTCCCCCTCAAGCCCCGCCCCCACTATTTACCTTAACCCCACCCCTTCCCGACGATTCCTCGGAGGCCCCGCTTTTTCTTGGATTGAAACCCCACCCCTCAGCGATGTTTGCTTAGCCCCGCCCCCTCTGACACTGGGCTCCCCCAAAGCCCCACCCTTTGCAACCAAGGTGATCGTAGCTCCATCCCCTTCTTAACAGGTGGCCTCTAAGCCTCGCCTTACGCCCTGTCAATCTAAATCTGTCCCCCACCCCCGAGCGGGTGCCTGAATCAAAGGTAAGTTGTGCTGTGCGCCTGAGCAACATGGAGCCGGAGTGGAGCGGCGGGCGGAGAACGGCTCCCCACCCCTGGCCCACACGCGGCTCTCTCGCCGAGGGCCAAAGCGCATGCTCCGTCACCGATCCAACTGCTCGCTCACGCCAGCGGAGATTCAGAGGGAGTCAGTGCGCATGTGCGGCTGCTTACTGCCCGCCCCTCAAACAGAAATACAGGCTCTGGCGGCTCGTGCATGTGAGCAATCACTTGCGGACAGACTTGCTGAAGGAAATGGTGGGGAGACAAAACTCACCCTCTCTTGGGGCCAGTGCGCCAGGCCATCTTTGAACAGCAACATTCTCAAGAACGTATCCTTCCCCCCCCCCGTCGGCCCGAATGCGCATGCTCAGCCCCGCGCCGACGGCGCACTTTTCCTCTTCTGCGCCTGCGCGACCGTGATTCCTCACTCTCGTCCCCCCACCCCCCGCTTCAGGCCTGGTCGTGAAGGCCGCGAGCTTCGAAAGGGCGGGAAAGGCGGTTGGAGAGGGAGGGGCGAGCGGTTACTCACTCCATGGCTGCGGAACGGAGAGGCGGCGGCGGCCTCGGCTGAAGAAAGAAGGCGGTAGCGAAGAGCGCAAGCGCGGTGAGCGCAGAGACGGGCCGGGGCACGGAGGGGTCGCGGCTACAGAGCCATAGCCAGGGCTATGCGGGCGGAGATGGCGTCGCGGTAGTGTGAGGAGAGATTGTGATCTGAGGATGGGGAATGAGGCGGCCCCGGGGACCGGGGACAGATATACCCTGGGTGGCGTAGCACGGCCCGCCAGGATCCTTCCGCGCTCCGCCCCACGAGGTCCCAACCGGGAGGCGGGCCTGGCCCCTACCTCTCGGGGATCCTGGGATCCAGTCCCCTCCTCCTCCCGACCCCGAGAGTTCGGGCTTTCGGTTTTTCTTCTTCCTACCTGGGGATCCAGCGCCCTCCTCTTTTCTACTTCGGGGGTTCCGAGCCTCCCATTCCTCCGACTCGGGGGTCCAGCCACCCCACCTCCCCATCTCTGGTCCTGGGGATTCGGTCCCTCTTCCCTGAGACCTGCACCAGTTCGCTTTTCGTTTCTTTCCCCCTGCTTCCCGAATTTCCGGCCGGCCACCCGCTCGTGTCCCCTTTCCCCAACTGCCGCCCCACGCTAAGAAACCTCTTTGTGAGTTAGAGGCCGGCGTGAGTCACAATGAGGTCGCGCGCCATTCACATCCCAGACCTTCGAGGGTGGCAAGTAACAAGTTCTCTAGTCTCGCGGGTCGGGACTGACTATCTGTAATGAGGAAGATTCGTAAATCGGGGCTACTCGATGAGGTTGTTGGTGAGAATCAGATAGGTCGATGCCTGTGAAACCCAGAGCCAGTCTCTTAACGTGCCTGTTCAACGTATTTTATTTTTTATTTTTCAACGTATTTTATTTTTAATAGGACCCTTTGGGGCCCAGTCTCACCCCTTCCTCTGGCTCTGGCAGGAGCCCCAGACATTTGAACGCCCAACATCTGCCAGTAGGTCACTCTTGTGTCTCCTTCACTCCTTCAAGGTGTGAATTTCCAGCCATCCCCACCCTTCCCCATTCCCGATGATGGTCGCGCAGCCGCAGAGAAGCCGGCCTCTTCACCCTGTCTTTTCTCCAACCTCTTACCTTCCATCAGCCTAGTTCTCCATCAGCTCTTATTCTCAGCGCTTCTTTCAGAAGGTCCTCTGCTTCCGCTGCGCCCCGCCCCCACCCCACAGGATGTTTCCCAGCCCTGCCCCAGATAGTGAGATCCGCACTTCCCCGTACTAAACAGAGGGGCTTCCTGGCCGTTCCCTTCCTGTACAGTAGGCCCTCCGCTCGCCCAAGTGGTTTTGGGTCTTTGCTTCAGGACCCCTTTCCCACTTTGCATCTGCCCACAGCAGGACACCTGGAATTGAGCTTTCCTCGCTTGTGAGGGTTATGAGATCCAAAGAAAGTGGGGGAACCCTGAACTTGAGAGGCATTTGGGAATGAAGATGTGCAGGCTTCTGTTGCACATGGGAAATACTTCTTGGGATCGGACCACTTTGACTTAGAGCACTAGCCATCTGCTCTGCCAGTATTTGAGGACTTGACCCACGTGACTACCCGAGGAGCACAGGGTCGCAGTTAAGCACCAGGTTGTTGGGTTCAATCCCTGATTCTACCCCCCTTATTAGCTTACTGGCAATTTCTCTTACGTCCCTGTGCCTCAGTTTCCGTTAATAGTACCAGAATAAAGTATGGCGTGAGTTTATTTAATAGAAACATAGCAATATACACGGTAGTTTAGAGTGCCTACTTGTCAGGCGCCTGACTGGCTCAGTTAGTAGAGCATGTGACTTGATCTTGGGGCCGTGAGTTTGGGCTCCACGTCAGGGGTAGAGTTTACTTAAAAAACAAAACAATAATGCCTACATCTTAGTACTGTTATGAGGAATAAATGAATTAATTCTCAGGTCAAGCACTTTGATTAGTGCCTGGCAAATGGTAGGTGCTGCATAGGAGCGGTGGTGGTTCTTGAGGAGGCTGTGTTTTATCTCCACTGCTAAGCAGTAAGTGCTTTAAAAGATCTCCCAGCCTTCAGGGGCGCCCGGGGGGCTCTGTCGGCTGGGAGTCCGATTTTAGCTCAGGTCATGATCTCACAGTTTGTGAGTTTGAGCCTAGAGTTGGGCTCTGTGCTGACCACTCAGAGCCTGGAGCCTGCTTCCGATTGTGTCTCCCGCTGTCTCTCTCTGCCTCTCTCCCACTCATTTTCTGTCTCTGTCTCTGAAAAATAAATGTTTAAAAATTAAAAAAAAAAAAAAAAGATCTCCCAGCCTTTTAAGCGAGACTTAGGACCAACCCTCTTTCTCCTTTCAGTGTAGATACTTGAGCTGTAGCAGGTAGGATAGGGGGTGGGCTGTTGGACAGACTGTCAGCAGTGAGTCGTGTCCCCCACTACCCACCAAAGTCCATCTTCTTCTGAAAAGATCTTCTAGGATATACATATGGACTAGGTATTTTTCTTTAAATACATTTTTATTTTGGAACAATTTTACATCTACAGAAAAGCCACAGATAGCAAGTACAGAGAGTTTCCGTGTATTCCTAGTCCAGGTTTCCCCTTGGTTGACATGTGACGTTACTGTGGCACATGCGTCGCAGCCAAAGAGCCACATAGATACGGGGGTTTATTCTCATTTCGCTAGTTCTTAATGCTGGTTTTTTGTTCCAGGAGCCTATGTCACATTTAGTGGTCGTGTCCCCTTAGCCTCCGATCTCTGCAGTAGTTTCTCAGACTTTCCCTCATCTTTCGTGATCTTGGCAGTTTTGAAGAGTACTGGTTGGTCATTCTATGGAATATTCGTCAGTTTGGTTTTGTCTCCTAGATTGGGATGTGGGGTTTTGGGGGGGTGGCCAGGGAGGATGTTTTTTAATAACTGGAAATGAACTTGCTTGGTATGGGAATCGTGTTGCCGGCTGCGTGCCACATATGCTGACTGAGGAGACGCTGGGGCAGGACCCCTGCTCCTCCTGTCCCAGCCCCTTGTGCCTTTTTTGTCCCCCTAGCTGTTGGTTCTCACGCTGTCCAGCCCTGGTGCCAGCTGTCCCATCCAAGCAGCCTGGCTGATTCCTGCTGAGTGGGTGCTAGTTGGCACACCTGTCTCCCTAAGCCCTTCTGGTGTATTCTGATTTGTGGCTGGTGGGTCGTCAGTGGCCCCCTGTGAGCCCAGGTCTTGGCACCCTGAGCCCTCTCCTGTGCCTACTCTTCTTTTTTTTTTTTTAATGTTTTATTTATTTCTGAGAGAGAGAGAGGGAGACACAGAATCTGAAGCAGGCTCCAGGCTCTGAGCTGTCAGCACAGCCCACGCGGGACTGGAACCCAAAAACTGTGAGATCATGACCTGAGCCGAAGTTGGATGCTTAACCGACTGAGCCACCCAGGCGCCCCTCCTGTGTCTCCTCTTGACCCTGGACCCATGGCGCCTCCAGGACTCCAATGCCTCTGCCTCCCCAAGACTTGCAATCTTGTAGTTGGGTCCAGGTGGCCCCAGCCCCTTCAACTTCTGAGCCGAGGCTGGGAGAATGGGCGGGGCTTCTGGGGACTCTTTTTCAGTGCGGAGGAGCCAGGCTTGGGGAGTGAGGTGGCCATTGCAGGCAGGTTGCATCACCCCGGCTCTTTGATGGGGAGGGGTGTGGGGGGATTCTCTGGGGGCCCTGGCGCACCTGGCAATGGTTCCTGGGTAGCGTGCCCTAGAGCCCTGGGTTGGGGAGAGGCCCCAGCACAGCAAGGGAGGGAGAAGGAGAGCAGCCCCCTGTGCCTGTGTAGGATCCCAGGTACCTGAGACTCAGTGTTGAGAAGGGGCCTCAGATCACAGGCGACCTGCTGGTCTTGCAGGGGGCAAGACTGAGGCCCCGGGAGGTGGAGGGGGGTGTGCACAGTGACACTGCTAGTTAGAGCCCGGGCCTCCCCAATACTGCAGAGCTTTCAAGGCCCTACAGACCCCAGGGAGAGCCTGTCTTCTCTCAGGTCTATGAGGTCCCTGACCCCCAGCCCAGGGCATAGCCTTCTGGGAGGTCACCTCATCTAGACCTTCACCTCAGGTTTGCTGCTGCTCACAGTTGCCAAATTCTATTGATTCTGACCTGTTCCTCCCCATCTTCCTGCCCTAGTGAAGGCCCTCCTCACCAGCCACCCCCGCTGGTTTCCCAATCAAGGGGACTGGGCCTGGCGTGATGGAAAAGGCACGCAGTTTACATCAGATGGACCTAGATTCTCTCTGAAGAGGCGGTAGGGCAGGTACCTGGGGCGTCCAGGCCAGGTTGGGGGCAGGAGTTGGGAGGTGGGTGTCCTGACAAACAAGGGCAGGAAGGCCAAGGCCAGCCCAGTTGGGGAAAGGGCAGTACAGGGGCCAGGCGTGCAGCGTGTAGGTGTGCCACGTGGCCCAGTAGCTCAGAGTCCTCCGGAGCCTGCCCTCGCTCCTGTGTGTCCCCCGGCGGGAGCAGCCGTGGCTCTTCAAGCCCAGGGAGGCCCTGCGTGCTTCGCCGGCGTCCTCAGTGTCCGCCTTCCGGGGTCCTTTCCCAAGGTCGCTGCAACGGGGCATCATAAACATGGGGGCTCAAATCAACACACGTTCGTTCCCTTTCGCTTCTGAAGACCGAAAGTCTAAAATAGGTTTGCAGGCCTGTGCTCCTTCTGGGGGCTCAAGGGTAGAACCCATTTCCTTTTCTAGAGGCGCCTGTGTTCCTCAGCTCATGGCCCTTCTCGCATCACTCTGACCTTTGCTTCTGTCATCTCGTTTCCCGTTTTCTCCTCTGATCCTCTTGCTCTCCCACTTACCACGGCCCTTAGGATTACCTTGGGGTTCACCCAGATCATCCACGACAATATCTCCATCCGAGATCCTCAGTTTAATCACATCTGCAGGCTCCCTTTTACCAGGTAGGGTAATAATTCACAGGTCCTGGGGACTATGATGCAGGCTTCTTCGGAGAGCCATTGTCCAGCGTACCACACCTCCCAAGGGAGCCTGTTTTCTCATCTGGAAGATGAAAGCTAGGGCGAGCCCTAGGGTCCCCCTCCTGTCCCCACAGGGACTGGCCAAGGGAAAGGGCTGGGCAGATGGGAGGT